GTACTCAGAAATTTATCTGTTTCTCCTAGGTTTTCCAAATGATTGGAATATAAATTTTCAAAATAGTCTTCTAATAGTTCTCTAGATTTCAGGAATGCGTTTTAATTTCACATTTTTGATTCAAATTTTATTAGTGTAAGCCTAGCTTTCCTTTGATAAGTTTATATAAGAGTTTATCAATATTTATCTTTTCAAACAACTATCTCTTTGGTACACTGGTTTTTATGTTGTTATTTTTATTTATATTTTTTAACTTTTGCTTAAAATTTATTATTTCTTTTCTTGTCATGGATTTGAATTTTTTGTTCTTGTTTTTCTAGGATCTTGTGATTCATCATTAGGTTATTCATTTGAGATTGCTCTGTTTTTCTCATATAGGAATTCATAGCTATAATCTTTCCTCTTATAACTGCATTCTTGTGTCTCACAGAAAAGTTCTGTTTGTAATTATCAATTAATTCTTGGCATTTGAAAATTCTTCCTTTGATATTTTCTATGACCTACTGATAGTTTAAAGGTGCATTATTTAATTTCTACTTGTTGATGTAGTTTCTGTGGTTTCTTTTGCTGTTGATTTGATTTCTTGCTTCACTCTGTTGTGATGTGGGTAGGATACATGAGATTATTTCAAGTTTTTAAAAATTTATTAAATCTTTTCTCACGATCCTTGTTTTGTGTTGAAGTTTGCAGCTCAGCTGGGATGGATATATCTACCAGAATTGTATGGAGATCTTTTAACTTCTTTCTCTTTGTGACATGCTCTTGGTCACTTACTGAGGCAGATGGAATTACTTGAGATGACTTCTTGCCCATGTTCACTCAAAGTGCTTTTGCTTGTTCTACTGGGGGAAGGGGAAAAGGGTTCTTCTAAAATGGTTCTCTGATGTGACCTATTTAAGTATATAGAGAGAAGCTGAGAATTATCACTTCCATCCTTTGTCACTTGACTGAACTCAGACATCTTTTCTTCTAAGGCTGTATTTCTCACCAGTAGCAAAGTCCACACTCATAAGAATGCCCTAGGGATTTGCTTTTATTTCTAGATTGGGAGGAGAAGTTCTTGTCCTCCATTGAGTTGCAATTTGTTTAGTGCTGGAATGTGGTATTTCAAATATTATTTCTGTGTTTTGCATGGTTTCTTACTCAAGTTACAATGTAGTCATTTCTTATGGTTCCCCAATATCTGTATTGTTGGTTTGGATGAATATTCTGGAGTTTTTTGTGAGTGCTGGCTGCCCATAGTCTGCCATTGTCCAGAGCTTATCCCCTGTATGCCTTTTTAAATGTAATTCCTGACATTTGTATTTAGTTCATGAGTTCATGTCTAGTTCATGTATAGCCATTTAAAAGTTACTTAATTACTTGTGTTTAAATGGTTTCTTGCTTAGCACTATTGTTTATTTTTATACTTTAGCTTCCTTCTTTGAACCCTTAATTGCCTCTTCAAGTAACTTTTAGTTCATGTCATGTGGTCAGTTTATGTGTTGTGAATTTCCTGAGATGAGTGTGTCTGTGATCCTCACTGCAAAGGACACATACAGAATTCTGAGCCAAGTGGGGAGAATGTCCTCATTCTCTACTTGATGTAAGCACTTTGCCAAAAGATTGTGTGTCTCTCAACCTCTTGGAGTCACCCATGTAAAGCATTTTTTCAGGTCTTGCTTGTAGAAACTTAGAACCTAGGACCAACCTCTGAGACAGATTTGACTGTTGTCCTAATCCATCCCACTTCTACACTGTTATCTACCTGAAAACCTATTTGCATTTGCCAAATTAACCCTTGGAATTTCTGTCCTCCAAGTCATCACTTACTTTCAGAATATGACCACATACTTTTTCTTAGTATAAGCTCAGACTCCTGCTATGTTTTTAATTAAATATTTTAAAAGAATATGCTTACATATGTTGTTATTTCACCAATTTATTTTTTCTGGAATATGACAGTGTGAACCCTTTTAACTTACCTACACTTAAAATCAGTTAGATGCTTTTCTGACTTTTACTTGCTTTTCAGTTGTTTTGCTCTTTGGAAACACCAAATGTTATCATGTCATCTGTCCATTTTCTCACTTTGATTTTATCATTCTTTCCATTGCTTCCCTCTGATCTGACTCTCATCATTTTTTTTTTTTTGTGGTACCAGGGATTGAATTCAGGTCTTTATGCTTGCAAGGCAGACCACCAAACCGCTGAGCTAAATCCCCAGCCCAAAAGGATTTTTTTTTTTTTGGTACTGGGGATTGAATTCAGGTCTTTGCGCTTGCAAGGCAGGCCACCAAACCACTGAACTAAGTCCCCAGCCCATGACTCTCATCATTTTTGTTTCTAATTTGAAAGATCTTATTTGTCATCTACCTCTTTAATTTTCTTCATTAACATATTAAAAGCTCTGGTTTGAAATATATTTAAATATTTTAATATCATTTCAGTTTATTTTTCTTCAAACCTTCCTGTTTCATTCAGTCTGGTTTATTTTCATCTTGATGTTTTTTTCAGTCCATTATGTTTACTCTGCATGAAATCTGATTTTTGGATAGAATTAATATCTTCTTGCCTGTTTGAGCACTTAACATAGTTTCTATTAAGTATATTTCCTTGAGATTCCATGTTGTTGTCTCCTTTCCTCTGCTCTTCAGCAGTTTTTTTTTTTTCAGGGTATGTAATTGATACTTTTTTGTCTTTACTAACTCATGACCTTAATCTCTCTGTCCAGTCAAAATACTTTGAATTGAATGGGATCACCCTTGTGGATCATCTTTTAAACTAATCTCTCCCAATGCCTCATCTATTTTTTAGGTCTGCTCCATCTCTTTCTTGATATTATCTACTTGGTGAAACCCTATCCTCATAATTCCTTTTAGTAGTAGAGAAAGTTTTCTTTGATTCTTTGACTATATTTAAAATAGATGACTTTAAAACTTTTCTGTAATGAATCCAGCATCTGGGTTTCCTCAGTGATGGATTCTATTGATTGTTTTGTTTCCTGAATTGGACTGTGCCTTCTTGTTTCTTTGCATGTATTTTTTTGTTGTTTTAACTGGACATCTAAAATAATATAATGTGGTAACTGTGGGAATCAGATCCTCCTTTCCTTACAAGATTTGTTACTATTTCCCCTTATTGCTGTTTTTTCATTGTCATTAAAAAAGCATAGTGATTTTCTTGAACTAAGTCTCCAAAGCCCATATTCTTTGTTGTGTATGTTCAATGGAGAGTCTCCTTAGTTAGTATAGTGTCAACTAATGATTGCACATAGATTTCTTTGAATGCGATGAAGCAGTATCTTTCAGACTTTGCCAAGTTTCTGCTTACCCAGGCATGCGGATCACAACTCTTGTTTAACCTTCACTTTCAGCTTTCCTAGAGTATTATGATTGATCACAGGTGAAAATTCTTGGTTTCAAAAGTTTTTTTCTGAGCATGTATACAGCTTGTGGTGTGCATACCATACCATCCTACACATGGATATAGACTATTATATTACTTTTATTATGTTTATTTTTCAAGAGTACTTCTTAGCTAGAAAGCATGTTGTGGCAAGTTAAAACACTAAAAAGCCCACTGTTCTGACATTCATTTTTATTAAATAATGCATTTTTATTTAATAAATACTCTATGTTTCTTATAGGCCTTTCAATAGTAAGTGATGGAACATGCAAGTAAAGGAAAGTTTTGTCCATATACAGGAAAAAAGCATTGAAATTATCCTCGAGGAAGTCTACATATTGGATTTACTACACAAATAATTAGTTTTATTTGTTTTTAATCTTCATATTTATTTCATTGGAAAGTTAGGCTGTTTTTGGCTATTCTCATGTCATTTTAACCAATCCTTTTTAGCTCAATACAATGTTTTTTAGAGTCATTTATTTTGTTTCTTATGTAGCTATTTTTATTTTGAGTAGCCTTTTTTTTTTTTTTTTTTTTTTTTTTTTTGGGTT